TCCCCCATCTTTTGTTGTAGTTTGTCTCCAAATTCTCTCGAATCTGGCAACACCTCCTTCTCTGAGGACCACCAAGAAGATGCTTCATCAAATACCACATTTCGTGACGTGTAGCATCTTCCACTAATTGGATCACAACATTTCCACCCCTTTCTCTGGCTGTCATATCCCACAAAGATACATCTAATAGCTTTCTTGTCAAATTTGCTCCGTAAATGATCAGGAACAAACACATAACATACACAGCCAAATACTCGAAAGTAGCTAACTGTAGGTTTTATGTTCCATAGTTTCTCAAAGGGTGAAACAAATCCTAACCTTGGTTGAGGAAGTCTGTTGATCACAAAGTCTGCAATCCTCATTGCTTCAGCCCAAAACCTTCCAGATACGTTCTTTGCATGTAGCATACTTCGACAAATTTCTGCAAGATGCCGGTTTTTTCTTTCCGCTACACCATTCTGTCGTGGCGTGTTGGCACAAGTGTACTGATGACGTATTCGGCATTCCCTTAGGTATTGAGAGAACTCGTTTGATCTATATTCTCCTCCGTTGTCTGTGCGCAAACAGCATATCTTCTTTCCCACTTCTCCTTCAGCTGAGTCTCTGAACTCTTTAAACTTTGAGAAAGTATCAGATTTTTCTTTCATAAAGAAAACCCACACATACCTGGAGAAGTCATCAATGAATGTTACCATGTACCGCATACCGCTAATTGACTGTTGCTTAACCGGTCCGAACACATCAGAGTGAACCAACTCCAAAGGTTCTTTTGCTTTAAACTTCGACTCGTCATATGGTAATTGGTGTGCTTTACCATACTGGCATCCCGCACAGACAGTTTCTGTTCTCACGTCTAGTTGAGGAAGCCCCTTAAGCATCGACTTTTTCACCATCACACTTAGCTTGGAATAGCTAACGTGACCTAACCGCATGTGCCATAGATCTGATGTCTCATTTTTCCTTGTCCTGTCTACATATGCAGACTCTGCTGACATCACGTAAATTGATTCCAAACGTCGTCCCTCCATTGTTGGGTTTCTGTGATTTTGACGTCACGATAAACCTTCACGTCTTGGGGACCAAATAAGACATAATGGCCTGATGATGTTAGTTGAGCACATATAGCAAATTTTTCTTCATTCCTGGGACATGGTAAACATCTTGGAGTTGCACCTGGTTAGTATTATATCGAGGAGTAACTATTGTCTTACCGATGTGAGTTATCGGTAACCTTGAGTTATCAGCTGTCACCACCACACGACCTCCATTGTACTCAGACAGGTTTTGCAACTTCTGTTTGTCACCCGTCATATGATTTGAGCAGCCAGAATCTACGATCCAATCATTCTTGTAGTCAATCCGTTCTGGTGTGTTACCGTGAGAGCTAATTCTTCTTCCTCCGTAGCAAATAACGCTTCAGCATCCCAACCATCTTCACTATTCTCCTTCGAACAAGAAGTAGCAGTATTACTTTCAACAGGCTTTTTCTTGGTCCAACAGTCTTTTGCCATGTGTCCCATCTTCCCACAATTGTAACACTTGCCATCGAACTTTCTACTATTACCGCGATTCTTGGAAGCTCCCCCTGAATGAGGGCCTCCCTTTCCTTGGTAATTTTTCACCTTGTCACCATCCTTTTTAGATCCATTGCCAGTATACCGCTGAAAAGTGCCTCTGCTTTTGCTGGTGTAGAGCGCTTCCTCTTCACCCTTCAGCGAGACTCCTCTCATTTGCTTGGCCATGGCTTCTTGACCTGCAAGCAAATTTTCGAACTCAACAAGCGATGGTTGTGTCGGCCATCCCTGTACAGCGGCAACAAACCCTCGATATTCGGGTCTCAAACCATGGACAATTATTCTTTTTATCCTGGCTTCCCCAATAGCAGCTGTCGGATCTAATTCTGAAATTTCACGGCATATCGACTTCACCTTGTGAAAGTATTGGGCAACCGCCATGTCGCGTTGTGCCATTGATAGAAGTTCATTCTCGAGAAGTTGCAATTTTGTATCGTTCCTCTTCGAAAAGAGTGTAACAAAAGTGTCTCATGCTTCCTTTGGTGTTTTAGCATCCCGGATGTGCTCCAACATTTCTTCTTCAATTGTGGTCTTTAAAGCAAACATTGCTTTGCCTGCTTTAATTTTCCACTTTCGCAAGATTCCATTGGCATCTTCTGTCGCCGGTTGTGTAACTTCACCACCACCGACAACCTCCCAAAGGTCTTGACCTTGTAAGTATGACTCCATACATGTTGCCCACGTGTTGTAGTTTTTGTTGTTGAGCTTCTTGATTCCTCCAACTACTTGAAGATCACCCATCTTAACGGCAAGGCTTTGACTACACCGAACAAGCTTGAGTAACAAACGTGCAGAGTACTAAATTACTCTAAACACAAAGAAGCTCCACAAGGTTTGTAATAACATCGACAATAACTCAAGAAATATTTTCTGATGTGGAAGATCAGTTAAAAACTGCAGCCACAGAGCATACTCAGAATTTCAAGAAATCTTAAAAAACGTTGCTCGGATACCAATTGTTGAATCAAAATAGAGTAAAAACTCTAATTGATCGGAAAAAAAAACTCTCTTTAGAATAATCTCACAAAATTGCAAAAGGGAAGAACTCTTAAGAAAGCTTTCAAATGCTTATAATTAAGCTTTGATTGTTGGATGATAAAACTCAAATACAAGTAGGGTATTTATAGGTTACAAGAAACAATCTAAACCACTCATTAAAATAAACACTAAATAATCTAAACCATTGAAATTAAAACATGAGAAAAATACTTAATTTTCACCTAACTAAATTGATGTAAGCAATGACATCAAAACTAAATTGATGTAAGCAATGACATCAAATTAATTTAGGTGTGAACATATAGGCTAATATTGAATTTTCAACACTTCCTCTCTGAGTATCACTAAAAATGTTGTCATCAACCAGGTGGTAATCTATTCTCTAACGCCGAAAAAAGGAAAGAGTGATTGGATGGTGCTCAAAATCGACCTTGAGAAAACTTTTTATCGTTTGCATTGGGATTTCGTCATTGACTCAGAAGCTAATTTCCCCCTCTTTTCATTCGGTTGATTCTCAACTAATCTCTACATTTTCCATGCAAGTCCAATTGAATGGTGCTCTAGGCCGAACTTTCAATTCTTCGAAGAGGAATACGACAAGGTGAGCCCATATCACCCTACCTTTTTGTTATGATCATGGAACGGCTAGGTCATGCCATCTCTACTGCGGTCGAGAGAAGAGATCGAATTCCCTTTCGACTCGTCCAAGGTGGCTTACTCGTTTCCCACCTTTTCTTTGACGATGACTTAATCCTTTATGCAAAAGCATCGCTCGATCAAGCTCACGTTATTGACTCAATCCTATCAGATTTTGGGACCTATTCGGGACACAATATCAATAAGCTGAAATCCCAAGTTTTCTCCTCCTCCAATAGGAGTGAATAAATTGCTACGGCTATTAGCAACCATCTTGACTTGTAACAAGTTGATAATCTCGACACTTATCTTGGAATCCGGTTATGCATAAAAGAACCACTTCAGATTTCTTGATAAAATTCGAAAGAGATTAGACGGATGGTAGAATTTGTCTTGCGAATTCGGTGCTCTCTATCTCGACGTATTTCATGCAAACCTCCTCTTCCTACTCAGATATGTGACGCTATTGAAACGCTTATTAGACGTTTTATTCGGGGTAACTCTTCTCACAATCAAGGTATTCCCCTTGTAAATTGGGCTACCATCAAGATATTTTTGGACTCTCATTCTTAAATTTCTGAATTGGCCACTACTCAGTCAATATCCCATGGCGGAGGGTTCGAATGCTTAAGAATCGTAACATTACCTTTCTCATAAGGGGGTGTTTGGATGGGGGAATGTTGGATTCCCATGGGAATGGAATCCACATTCCCCCGTTTGGTTAGCCCGGGAATCTTATTCCCGGTAATGTAAGATTATCAATAGTGGATTTTTTAGGGTATATTACCGGGAATGTCATTACCTCCATTTCCTTAGGTATTGTTGGATTCCCGACGTTTTGGACTAAAATGCCCTTAATTTTTTTAAATATCATTTTTCTGTCATTAAATAATAAAAATTCTACGAAGGTTAAATTACAAATTTATCCTTAAACTATTTTAGATTTACAAAAAAAAGTCTATAATTAAAATTTTATATGAAGTTCAGGGGTTAAAATAAAATTTTACCCTTTCATTAAACCTTTTTATATTTTCAATTTTGTAAAAAAATTATATAAATTTTATAAATTTAAATTTTTTAAAGAAAATATTTAAATATTTTCCAACTTGTTAAAAAAAACAAATATATAATAAGGACAATTTGGTCAAATATACATTCCAATAATCTTTTATTCCTTTAACCAAACACGGTAATCTTACATTCCTACTAAGCCAACCAAACACAAAATATAACATTCCCAGTAATCCTATTCTCTGGTAATCTTACATTCCCATTGTAATCTTCCATTCCGTGAACCAAACGCACCCGAAAGGTATGCTATAATCTCGTCATAAACAAGGGTTCTTACTGGATCACGCTTCTTCGACAGAAATACAGGATGGTTGAGTCTTGCCCGATCTCTCTAACCAGGCTGAATAGCTCTCCCCTTTGGAGAGCGATTACAAAAATATGGCCTATGTTCTATGGCTTCCTCTCTATCTGTTGGTTTTGGCATGACAATTGGATGCCGAACTTAGGACCCTTAACCAACCACAAAGCTCCAAACGCCATCGTTGATGACAATCTTAGCAGACGGTAATTGGGACTGAAATCTCATAAGCACTCTCATTAACCCTTATTAAATAAAAAAATTAAATATTAAACTAAATATGGGTCAATTTATAATTGTGAATTTTAAACTAAGTCTAGGGTTTAGTAACAACGACGACAAGATATTTAAACATTGATTATCAAATGATTGAGAATATATAAAATAAATATCATCATTTTTTTTAATAAATAAGATTTTTATTATCCAAAGGAAGCAGAAACTGCTACAAAAGAACCAATTCAATCAATGGAAACAAGATCAATGGTAAACTATGAACAACAAAATTAGACTATACCCCAATTGTTACATAAATCTAAATTAGTGCTATCTAATCTATTAATGTTTCTGCTACTTAAGTGAGTACTAATAATGTGTTTGATTGCAAGAAGAACTTCCTCCTCGGTTCTATAAGTACCTCTGAAAAGACGATGATTTCTTTCCTCCCAAATTGTATAGTTGAAAGCACACCAAGAGAGCTTTAAAATGCTGGTAATAAGTGATTTTCCTTTCCAAGTTGCAGACACCCAGATCAACAAGTTAGACCAGGATAATTGAGGTTTGTGAATACCAGAAAGAAGAAGAAGAAGGGAACGCCAGATGGAGCCAGCCATCTTACAATCAGCAAAAAGATGATTTCTGGTTTTGTTAGTTTCAGAACATAAGATGCACTGAGAATTAACAATGATTCCAAACTTCTGCAGCCTGTCTTTAGTGGGCAAAGGGTCCAGAATTATCATCCAAGTGATGATGTTGTGCTTAGGGATGTGTATTGGGTACCAGATCAGTTTCTGCCAGGAAACTTTGTTGTTCTTCAATCGAACATCTTCCCATAAGCTTTTAGTACACTTAAATCCTACAGACAAAATAGGATAAACAAGGGATCGAAGCTTCATGATTCTCTTAAATGTCCAGCTAGAGTTAGAAGGAATGTCCATGGTATAAAAAAATAATCATTATTTTATAAAATCATTTTACTGTGAAAATTAATAAGGATGCTTAAGTTTGATTGTCAATTTAAATTATTAAATTATAATATTTTTTAATTATAAAATAATATATTTATTTTTCTAAAATTATTTCTTATAAATTAATAAAACCCTACAATGGTCAACAGCTCTCTGTGCCTCTCTCCCTCTAAACCCTACCAAGTTATATCACTGAGGCTTCATCTTTCTTTAACTAGCAGATTACAAAACTCAACGGTAACTCTTCTTGTCTCTTAATTTGTCTGTATATATTTGTTTTCATTTTTGCAACAAGTTTTAAAGTATTGAAATTCCATGATTCAGTCGTTAAAATTTAATCCGCTTATAGCATTGTCACTCATAAAGGTTATATCTTTGATTATTTTTTATGTTTTGATTCGTTTTTTTCTGCTGGGAAAGTTGATTTTTTATCCATAGTTATAATTGCGGACAACTTTCAGATATTGGGTGACACTTATTTTTGTCTGGATTTTATTTTTATTTTAAATTATTATTATTATTATTATTTACTTTTATTATTACTAATTATTACATTTTGTAGGCTTGAAAATGGAGCCCAAATTACAACAACAACCCGAAGCCCACCAGTTACATAAGCTCAACGGTATCAACCTAAGCCCATTAATAAATCAAATACAAGCCCACCGAGAAACTGACCCAACTGGAGCCCAGACCTGAGGCCCAAGATCCGACCCGGTCCAGGCCTAGCACTCAAACTCGACTAGGGTTTCCTTCTCTGCCCCAGCCGCCCAATTTCTAGTCGTTGGATCTGATGGAGATCCAACGGTCCTCAACTACTCAAGGGAAACCTTAAATATCAACAGCCGCCGCTATCGATCACTCCCGAGCCGCCGTTGTCATCAATAGAAGCCGAACAGTACCCAAATCAATCACCAGTCAATCACCAAGCATATCAAATAAAGAAAACAATAAAAAAAGAAAAAGAAATCCAGAGAAAATTAGGGTTGTTAATCAAGCCAAAAATAGGGTATTCATACCTTATCTTCTCAGTAATACAAGAACATATCAAGTCTTTATCAAGCCAGGAACATAGGAAAAGAGGAAGAGGGAAAGAGAGTAGAACCGAAAAAAAGAGAGGGGAACATAGAAGAAAAAAAGGTAAAATAAAGAGATTCAAACAAAAAAGAGAAACCTCTCGAAAATAAAAAGAAAGGGGAAAGAAAATACCTCTGTTCTTGGTTGGAACCGGGATCTTCATCGAGCCAAGGCCTCCGATTTTTTAATGTAACCATTAGACTTTTTAGATCTAGGGTTAAGGGTCGTGTTTTAAGAGTTTAGGTTTGGTTTTCGGTTTGAGGGTGAGAAGAGATTTCATTTGGGGCTATTTTGTACCTCAATTGGCCACCGATTCGTGGTGGTCAGAGAGGTTTGGGGATTTTGTTTCATTCTCCTCGACGGTGGAAGGTGAGAGAGGAAGAGAGAAAAGAGAGCATGTTGTTTGGGGTAAGAAATGAAATAGAGTTTTGAAATAACCCTTAAAATGGGGTTTTATCCCATCTGCAGTACGACGTTGTCTAAGAGGGGTGTCTCAGCATGTTTTCGTGCTTGGGGATAATAGAAAATCGAGTCCTTGTAGCTTTGTAATATCACCTGTGTTCATCAATTTTTGGGGGCAAATCACAGTTTAGGTCCCCCATGTTTTGTAATTTTATTATGAAGTCATTAATTTAAATCTACTGATATTCTACTTTGAGCATTTTGTTTCCTATGTTTATTTTTAAGTCACTGACCCTATGTCTTATGTTATTTTCTTTGATGTTCGAATATTGCCACAACATTTAAGAATCTTTTATTTTGGTCACTATTTCATATGGTTGCATTTTGGTATAGTTTTAACTGTCCCTTTCATATTTCTTGTTTATTTTATTTTAGTCCTTAATATTATTTATAGGTTATTTTTGTTTTTGGTACCTATATTTGTTTAAAATGTTGATTGGGGCTCTGGTTTGTTCATAATTATTGTTAGGTCCTTCCAGTTTATGTTAGTGTCATTTTGGTCCATTGAATTACCGAATGTGCTTATTTTTGTTGTTTGTAATTTGATCTGTGATGTTTTCTTGTTTATGATATAGTCCTTTATATATGTGTATATTTTACATATTATGTAATTATATGTAAATAAATATGCTTAGATATATTTATTGTAAATATTTTATGTCACATATTTTCAATCACATTTGTTTCTATTGTATTTCTTTAACTATTAATATTACGCGAATAATTTCAAGAAAACTTATTTATAGAATGGGAGTGGAAAACACTTTTTTGTCAAAGTAGTGTGATCCGATACGACGTTCGAATGAAATATGAACTTGAAATAAATCGATTTTATTTTGTTAACTAATTCATTTTTATTTTAATTTGAACAATGCAATGCATGATAAAGTAATTATCAATTTATTTTGTTGTTTGCAAATGTCGATTTTCAATTTATATTCGATTCACTCTTTTATCGATGAGGGAATATTCTTTTTAGACAAGAAATAGACGAGATAGTTTTCCCGATGGAAAATTGTTGATCTCGAGATTTCTTTTCAAATTAAAAGATTTTCTCTATTAAATAATTCAAAACAAATTAATTTTAATAAATGGATCATACTTTAATTATCATTGTGAATTCATAATTTCCACCATTACAACAAAGTGTAAGCGGCTAAGTACTAATTTTGGGCACTGTGGGGTGCTAATCCTTTCCCACGCGTAATCGACTCTCGGACCCGTTAAATCGGTTTTTTGGATAACGCAAACCAATTTTTGTCTTAAAAATGATTTTCCTTAAAATTGTTTTAAAAGACGTTTTTAGGTATTCGACCTACTTAACCTAAAAATCGATGGCGACTCTTATTCAATTTAATTCAAATTAATTCAAAATCACTAATTTTTCAAATAAAGTCATAATTGTTTTTTTTTTAAATTATGACATATTGACCTGTAGCAAGAAAAGAAGTACTCAATCTGAGGTAGAACCTCTTGAGGGTGAAACTTATTTAGCTACTGATAATATGGTTTTGGTTGCCTTCTGGTAAGAAAATTAAGATGGATAAGAAAAAAAGATGCAGATAAGGGAGATGTGTTGTTTCATCTTCTGCTGCTGCTGGTTCCATTAAACCAGTGGAGAGGAAAAAGAAGAGGAAACAAATGGACAAGGAGAGGAGGCATTCGGTTTTAGAAAACGAGGAGCCTCGGCCAAAACAATTGATTGTTGAATCTAAAGGAGATGGTGCCCCCGAACCCGTGGCCTCTTCATCTTGTAGTAGTTTGCCTGAGTTCCGTATCGGTGTTTTTAATGACTTGGCTTCGGCAGATTCTTCGGTGAGAGAAGCAGCGGTGGAAACAATGGTGTCTGAGTTGCAGGAGGTTCAGAAGGCATATGATAGACTCGAGAATAAGGACTTGGTTGAGGGTGTTTTGAAACTGGAAGCTCGAAAGGATGATGGCTTGGATAATTGTGCACCATCTTTGAGATATGATGTGCAGAGGTTGATGCGTGGTGTTTATTCGTCGAGAGAGGTTTGATGCTATCTTTGTTCTTTGTCTCGCATGAATTCATGTAGCTACTTGCTTCTTGATGTTTTAAAAGTTTGTATTTTGCATTTCACTGCGAAAATCATAGCTTTCCTATTTTCTTCAATTTGCATTTCGATGCTTTGCTTTGCTTTACCCGTGTATGAAAAATAAAACAATCTTCCTAGAACACTTCGAACAAAACTTAAAAATGCTTTCCGTGTGTCACCTAAGTTATCTTTTGAATCTAGTCTAACATCTAGCATCTGAAGTGTACTTGTTCATTTGTTATCTTGCTATATACTTGACCATCCATAAAATAACTTAAATTGGCTTGTGGCTGATATTATGTTTTTCAACTTGTTTTGCAGTGTGTTAGACAGGGTTTTGCATTGGGTTTGACTGCTTTGCTGGCCACAATTCGTAGCATCAAAGTGGACTCCTTGTTGAAACTTATAGTTAATTTATTGGAGGTCCCGTCATCGATGAAGGGTCAGGTAGGCTTGCTTTCCTCAATGCATTTCAGTTTTTCATCTACTCTGTTACATCAAGTAATTGGCTTTGATTATGTAGGAAGCAAGGGATTGCCTTCTGGGTTGCTTATTTGCATATGGTGCTATTGCCCAATCTGGCGGACTCACTAAAGATACTCGTATCATCAAGAAATTTATGAGTGCTCATATCTCCCTTTCTACCAAAAAACGATATTTGCAGGAGCCTTCAGTTTCCATCGTTTTAGAAATTGTTGAAAAGGTATTTTTCTGATTAAGTGATAGGATTTTTTCTTCGTGATGTTCATACTTTTTTCTGCCAGGATGTGGGAAATCTGTAATAATTCTGAACCTTTGCTAACTTAATATTTTGCCTAATTAGATGTCAGCACTTTATTATTATTATTTATGTAAATATTAATACTATGTGCTGGTTGCAATGGTTTCTAAGTGTATCGTTATAAAGAATTTCTTTCTCTTTTGGTTGGATGTTGTGCCAAGTCCTTCTAATACTCTTCCTTTTGTTATGCGTTTACTAGGTCATTTATTTTGTCTTTATAACCTCCAATAACTGTAAAGATATGTTGGTTAGCGATTATCATACTCGCAGTTCCAAGTATTCTCATTTGTATGTCGTGTCAAGGTTCAAGTCAGTATTGTAACAGTTATTGCTATTTATGAATGCGTTTAATGTGTTAAGTAGATGTTTCAATCATTATGTAACATTTCTACATGTTGCAGCTGCCTGCTGAAGCATTGTTGGATCCTATTCTTGAAGCTCCCGGAGTTTGTCAGTGGTTTGAAGAAGCTGTTGATGTTGGAAATCCTGATGCTTTGCTGTTAGCTTTAAAAATTCATGAAAAAACATCCATTGACAGCGAACTTTTGCCGAATCCATTCAGTCCAAGCAGACTTTTCTCCGCCGACTATTTATCCTCAATTAGTGACTGCATGAAGGTAATTTTTGATGCATCTATACATTGATATAGAGAAAAATTAGGTTTTGTCGCTGCAACTCGTATGGCTTCTGAGTGTTGCTGAAGCCTCCATAGGTGAGATTCAAATTTTGTCGATTAGTTTTTGCATTATTGGTCACAGTGGGTGATAATTCGTTGGACATGCCCAGGAAACTGAGGGATTTTGTTGAGCATCCTCTTGTTTATTTATATATTATATCTAAGATGAGTTGTCTTTCTTTATTTCATATATCAAAAGTATTATACACGTTTCTCTGGAATTTGGATGATGAAATTATGAATACCCCATTGTTGTCAGCATTTTCAAAGTTGGCAGTGTCAACAATTTCTGCCTAAACACGTCTCCATGCGCATAATACAGGAAACTTGCTTTTATGTACAACAGAAACAATTAGACTTGTAGATATTATCAAGCTTAAATTTACATGTATTTAATGGCTTGAATGGTGGCTTCTTTTAAGCTTAAATTAATCCATTGAAGTTGATAGATCTTAAAGCATTGAGAATTTATCACTATAATGGAATTCAGATTAAAAACAGTGAGGTTTTAAGGTCGTTCTTGTCAAAGAGAGCAAAATCTGGTATTCTTAAGAAAGAATCTTCCAATGGGTAAAAGAAGTTAAAAGAAATCCCGTCTCCAACATCTGTTGATGTCAACGTCAAGATTAATAAATAAATAACTAATTTATATTTTTACATTTTTATGACTTCTTTATAATTAGAAGCTGTTTACATGTTTTACCATTTTAAATTTATGTTAGAAAAGTTGCAATCGTCTTGGCCATGGAATTAGGGGCAAAGTGCCCCTCTTTTGAGTTGGACCGTTCATCAATTACTTTCCAGATATGATCCAAAATCTGTTCAGGCTTCACTTCAATCTGTCATCCCATCATTTCCCAACCTCCCTTGCACATTACATAATCTCCCTATGTTTATTTAAAAAAAATACAAGGGTCTGAAATTTGAATGAGTTGCCATACCATGCTTGCCAACAACCATTGATTCCATTTTAAAATTGCTTCTATTGTTTTGACGCCGAGAATCATGTAATCCCCATCCCCTTTTTTCAGGGTTGATGCCATTACTAAAGTATTCCCCCACCACCACTACCCATATTCCACCAAACCCTCTTCCCTGCAATCCTCCCCCCATTAAAGAGAGCAACCATTACAAAACACCACCACATTAAAACAACCCCCTCCTCCTCCTCCACCCCCCCTGTACATCGACACAAAAATAGAAGGGGAAAAAAGGTTCACTTCTTCAGCAGCAGCATTCAAACACTGTTTGGAATCCACATCTTTTTTCCAGTATGTTACCAAAATCTATCCTCATCTAAACCCCCTCCCCCCCCCCCCAAAAAAAAAACCCAATATCAGTTCACAAGCTTCAAAATATAGCTCATCCTTTTAAGATCGGGCATCATCAGCATCCGATTCACTTCCTGAAGAACTCCCAGAATCTGAACCTGTAAAAATTACGTTACAAGATAAGGATTTCCTCTTTTATTCCCTTATCGATGAACACTAGTTCTAATACATCCACACATACCACTTGAAGATGACGAATCACTGCTCGAACTGCTGGAGCTGCTAGAACTGCGACTAGCACCATCATTGTCCTTCTCAATCTCCACAGGTGGGAAACTACTAATTGGCATTTCATCCCCAATATCTACATCTTCCTCTCCCGCATCAACTTTCTTTAGCTTCTTTATCTCCATTGGAACCTCAAACTTCTCTGTATTTGCATCTTCCTGCATTTTCCAATCAGAACAATCATAAACTCATACCAACTATTAGTAACCATCAAGCAATCACAATGTGCTTAGTGCTTACCCTATGGCTGTCATTAGATAATGCATTGTTTGCCATCAACGCTTCCCGCTTTATCTTGCTGACCTTCTTCTTGTAATTAGTGACAAACCGGTCCAACTCCCACAACGTCTCCGTGTCCATTGCCTCAATATCAAGTTCAATCTCATCCCCGTCCTGCCTCAAATGTCCAATCCTTTTCCTTATAATCTGAACCACATTATCCATCTTCTCTTGCGGTAAGCTCTGTAATGCCATCCCCAAATTTTGCTTCTCCTCCATACTCATTTCCCTCTTGTTCGGATCCTTGGCCTTCGGCTTCGGCTGCTTCAATGGCTTAAACGGGGGAAGCCTTACTGGTGAAGCCACCCTAGTCGGCACCTGAGGTTGCATCTGTTGGGGTGATGCTGGATTTTGGTTTGGAACAAAGCCCGAAACCCCTCCATTTCTATCAGATTTTGCAACAAAATTAGCTGAATCTGACCTATCAACCATTATCCTCTCAGCCTCCATTTCCTCATCGTTCTTCAACCTATCGGCTTCACCATTATTCCAAGAACTCGCCTGCAACTTTTCCTCGTAATAACCCCGTTCGGGTAGCTCGTCTTGCTCCTCCAACTTCAAGCTCAACGACCAAAACAACTCCTCAAATTTCGCAAGTAATTGCTCAGCCAACGCATAAACCTCGTGCCCCTTAGGGTTATACAGCATGGCGTTATTGAAGGTGAGTCTCACATCCGCCGCAAATTCCAAGGGAGACCCATAAAAATTCTTTCCCATCCTCGATTTCACCGTGCCCAGGTCCATTGGTTTCATGATTATATTGTAGTAATCATGAAGACCCATTCCGACCACATCCACCGGCGAATTAAAGATGTACCCATGCTTGTTTTTCATCAATTTGATCAATATTTGGGAACAACTTTTCATCAAATGACCCATTGATGCTTTTCCATTCTCTTGAGGGCCTAATCTCTTCAATTCTTTGCTGAAATTTGAGGGGGAAGGCCGTTTGTTGCCAGAAATGTTCTTCTTGGATAACGCTTTCTTGTTGGAGCTGGATCTAGCGTGAGAATCATTCGAATCAATTCGATTCCTCAATTCACGAACCCGTTCCAACTCTGTAACCAACTGAATTTTCAGATCAATCAACTCTTTCCTCGAATAAGAGCTGATACGGAAGCTAACGAAGGCGTCAGGGTTGAAATCGTTCAGCTTCCGGTTAATTGATGATGCATCATCAGAATCTGCGGATTGGGTCACGGCAGGAGAATCATCGACGACATGGCCAGCAACGTCATCTGGTGGAGCCAAATGATTGTGAAATTGACGCTTCTTGTTGAATTTAGGGTTTGGTTTTGTTCCTTTGAAGGGAACCTTGCCCATGAATTTGGCTATACTCACTTTCGGCTGCGATGGCCAATTTGAACCGCTCCGATTCACTAACACAGCGGATGCCATTAAATTATCAGGAGCCGGTAGAGCTCCGGCGAGGGATTCCCGATTCGGATCGACAGAGCAAAACCATGAAAGGAAGAGCGTTACCAACACGCGCCAACTGAAGCAGAGTGGCCAGGAATTTAAAACGAAAAGCCCAGAAAATATTTTTCTTTTGGAGAAAAATAATTAAACGTGAAGACTGGGCTTGGGATCTACCCCTTTGTTGAGCGAGGAAGGAGAGAAGGCTAGGCTGGATTCTTAAAGGCGATGAGATCTGCCCGTTTGATTTTCGGGCAATGTTTTGAGCGTTAGATAAAATCCTTTTGTTGATCGAAGGGTTGTTAGAGGTTTGGAAGGTGACTAGAGGCCTGCCCGGGTGATCTGGCGGGAACGGTGAGGATGAGGGAGACGGGTACACGTGGAAGGATAGAAACCGTGGATGGGGATGTGGCGTGAATTTAGGGTTTTATGGGGAGGATGCGGCCCCTACCATCGGGTGATGACGTGGTCAGAAAGCCAACCGGGTGGTCCGGCTTTAGCCGGAAGCCACACGGCATGTGTGTTCTCCAAACATCAAGGGTAATATTGGAAATATTTATTATATATGTCATACTTGATCGATTGATAGATGATGATCAGAATGAGCAAATCACGCGGCCCCATTCCCTAAAAATGTCTTCCAATCGGTGTTTAATTTCATCTCTCAAATTTAAATCATTTTAGGGTAAACTTATACTTTTAACTACTCAACTATGGTGAGATTTTAATTTGATCATTGATTTTAAAATTTGTCAATTAAATCACTTAATTATTTAAATGATGTTAATCAAATTATTTGTAGTTAACATTTGATGGAGAAGCCAACATGAATATGTGATAATTAATATAATTACATTTTTAGTCCTCATTATTTATATATTCTAATTTTACAATTTGATTTTAATTTTAATTTAGTTTAATAATTTTTTATCCAATCAAATGTGATAAATCTTATACTTGGGGAAGATTAGACAGGCTCTAACCATATGGGCAAATCCTATGTTTGTGATATGAATTGCAACATTATATACATATCTTATTATCTAGTTAATGCAAAAAAGAAAATGTTTAGAGTGACCGATGGTAGATTTAACAGCAAAATAACTACGAAAATAGTTCCATTATTCTTAAAATAAAAATATTGTTATATACGAGATGTATATTAACTAGAAAAAAATTCTAATAACTATTTAAACTGGTATAATATTTTTCATATTATAGATATATAATATTAAATAAAAAATTATTGAAACTTACTAGAATGGATCCTTTTTTCTGTATAAAATAGAAGGAAAGAGAATCTTTTTACTTGTTTCACTTGACAGATGTTTTCGAGTATGGAAGCGGGAATGTCTCAGGAAAGGCGGATTAATATACGGCTAATATACAGCATTATCGGATACATTAAAATGTATTTAATAAATTCGGTTTAGCGGTACCTATTATGTTGACAACTAATAATGTTTTAGGTAGAAAATATGAAAAACTATTAAAAAATTTGGTAACCGGTAAACTTTGGTTATCGGTAAACTTTGGTTATCGGTAAGTATCTATCCTTTTTATAAAAGTGTCCATACTTTTAACATATCAAGTAAATTTTACCGGTTTTGTCATAATGAATCTGGTTTTGTCATATTTTTACCTGTTATATTGTAAATTATCTATCCTTTTTATAAAAGTGTCCATACTTATTTCACTGTGAAAATATATTTATTATTATCTTTAGTTAATATTGTTAAATTTAAAATCTAAATAATATTTTATAAAATATCAAAACAATCAAATAATTTTTTGTGTAAATGAAATTATTAAATTAATATTGTAGGTGGAAAACATGAAACACTATTAAAAAAAATTGAAACATAAATTACATAACTTTCAAAAAAGTATATATCATTTTTATAAAAGTGTCCATACTTATTTCACTGTTGAAAACATATTTATTATTATATTTGGTTAATATTGTTAAATTGAAATTCTAAATAATATTTTATAAAATATCAAAACAATCAAATAAAATTTTGTGTAAATTAAATTATTAAATTAATATTGTAGGTGGAAAACATGAAACACTATTAAATAAATTGAAACATAAATTACATAACTTTAAAAGCAGTTATAAATCCTAAAAAGTGTCGATACTTTTAAAAAATATATCGATCCAAAACGATATACCAGGTAAAAATATGATAAAACCGGTAAAAAAATGATAAAACCGGTAAATTTAAAAGTGTCGATACGTTATATAAGGATCGACACTTTGTGAATTTAAAAGAGAAGCAGTTATAGCGCCTATAATGTGTCGATACTTTAAAAAAATATATCGATCCACAACGATATAACAGGTAAAAATATGATAAAACCGGTATCAAAATGATAAAACCGGTAAAATGATACCGGATATATTGAAAGTGTCGATACTTTCGTAAGTACATGTAATAAATTATCGACACTTTCAAAGAAATAGGTAATTATCCTTTCGAAAGTATCGACACCTGACATAAAAGTATCGACACTTTTGTATTTGTATCGATTAAATATAAATAACATATCCGATGAAAATATAAAGGCCATAGCTAAATATCCTCTGAAAAAAGATAGAACGGACGAGTTTTTGAAATCGAAGAGTAATTTTTGCTGCATTTCAGAAGGCGTTTCTAAAGCGAAGTTTGTTTGTTTGTTGCTGCAGTCGAATCGAAAAGTATGTTGTCGAAACCCTAATTTTTTATTATTACAGTAATCGCGATAGGGTTTTTTATGTGTTGTTTGGGGTTTTGGAGTAAGGAAGCATTTGGGACCGATTGCATGTAGAAATAGATATTCAAGGAAAAATATAAATGTCGATACTTTTATTAAATATTATAGGTAGAAAATGATATTATAGGTTGTATAAATGTGCCGACACATTTTGGTGTGGCCATTCAAATTCTTTTGAAGAAAACCGTTTTACCACAAGAGTAGTTATCTATATTTGTATATTGAAAAGTGTATGTAACAAAATAATTTGATTTGCGTAAACTGATATATGAAGGAAAAATGGAGTCAATGGGTTGGAAAATTGTTGGTGGAGCAGATGACTTTGAAATTGAGGCCGAGACTCGAAAGCAACCAAAGGGTGGATATATGTACTTCTAGTAAGTATCAATGTCTTTTTGTTATTATTGTTGAAATGGTAATTGGATTAAAGTATCGATAAACTTTAAATTGATTACAAATTTTAAATGTTAACAGTATGGCCGAATGCAAAAGGATGAAGGGAGATGGCACACAGAGCGGTTCGGTATGTAAAATGAAATTGACATTGAGTAGTATTAGTATTTAGTGTTAATGTATTGATTAAGAAACGTTTATGTTTAATATTAGGTGAAAAAAGATGTGAGGTCCAAATGGAATTCAATGAGTGATGCTGAAAAGGAACCTTACATCACACAGTCAAGGAATGATAGTAAAGAATACAAAGAACGGAGGAAAGCACATGAAAATAAGGTATTCATTAAACTTGTAAATACGTTGATACAAAATATAAGAACTATAACATTATATATTGTTAAAAAAAGTAGGAAGTGTCGACAAGATGCAGCATTAAAAGGGTGAATTTATTAATTAAACACCTTAAGGAGAAGGGTCAGTTGAATGTGCTGGGAGAAATAGGTTTTGGATCGTTGATCGGAGTAAGGGATCGACCTATTCGGAGGGAATTGTGTCGATCCTTGATGGCACAATTTGACGTCAGTCAATGTATGGCTAAGTATGGTGATTATTCATTCCCTCTGGGGGTATCGACTGCTGCAGCCGTATTGGGGGTACAAAACAAAGGCAAAAGTGTTATAGAAGTCTGTAGGAGTAAGAACTGGAAAGCACTTGCCTCCAAATATGGTTTGAATCATAAGGTGACATATCTTGAAGTTGAAGAGGATATCAAAAGTGGATCTTACTGGGGGGATGAGCTGAAGGCCCGAGTTCTATTGTACCTTGTCGGGATATTTCTTTGTCCAACGGGTGATACGTCAACGAACAAGGAATATATGAAGCTCATTTGCGATGAAGGCTTGAAGGGTGAATTCAATTGGGCTGAATATATCCATTCGAGATTGATTGAATCAATCATCACCTTTAAAAAGGGCAGCCAGAGATACCTCAAAGGGTGCATAGCAATCTTAGAGGTAAATGAGTTGAATCACTTTTTTGTGTTTTATATAAAATATAAATTTTATTATAAATGCAGGTTGCACTGTTCGATTTTTGGTCGGGCTGTGAGGCAGTGCCAGCTTATGAAAGAACCGGAGTGGCACGCATCCGTGCATGGGGGAAGGAAGAGGTGGTTAGAGTGATGGTGAAGTTGAAGTTGGATAGAGGGAAGAAGCAAGAAATGGTAATAAATGTAATTAAATAATATTAAGAATATAATCAATGTCTTACTATTGTAATTTAATTTTGAAGGTTATTGGCAAGGATGTAGAGGAGGCAGTGGAGGCAGAGGAGAAGAAAGGAGGGATGGTTGTATTGGGGGATGACGGTGAGTGGGACGACGGTGAAGCAAAACAGAGTAACTTCGACATTTTGATGTCTGAATTGGCTGATATCAAAAAAATCCAATTTGAAATCATGCAAAGACAATCAAGAGTCGAAGAGAAACTTGATCAAGTCGTAGAGAAACTCGAGAGAGTCGAAGATACACTCGAGAGGCATAAGGGGGTAGTGGAAGGAAAAATAGATGGAGTGGTGAAAGAAGTAGAGGTGTTGAGGGGTGAAGTGGTGAAAGAAGTTGGGGTGTTAAGGGGTGATATTAAGATGGTGACGGGAGAAAAATTTGAGGGAGTGGTGAAGGAGGTTGTGGATTTGAGGAGTGAACTTACGGGGTGAAGGGGTGGTTGATAAATACTCGGATGAAGGAGCTCAATTGAAGGGTGAAATAAAGAGATGAAGAGCTATGTAGAAAAAAAGTACGATGAACTGAAAAAATGAAGAAGAAAAGAGGGAGGAGGAAGAAGAAGAGATGGAAGAAATGAGGAGGAAGGAAGTCGATGGCATTTATACACCGGAGAGTGTTATAGCAGCAGTTTTGGATTCGGAATGTCCTGCACCCCAGAAGAAGAAGCAGAAGGTAAGTTTAATAAAAGAATACTTAATTTGATTTTTATTATGTTGTTGTGACCAAAAATTTGTATGCAAAATTGTAGGTTGAAA